GGGCGGTGGCGGGGGAGGCGGCGAACCGCGCACCAATTTTGGCCTTTGCGCCGCTGATATGTTCGCCAACAGGCTCTGGAAGGATGCGGCCGACGTGTAAGGCAGAGGCATTCCAGGTGGCAACAAAGGTGGCGGTGCTCGATGATAGGGATGAGCGGTGTAACTACCGGGAAGGACCGGTCCGTGACCCAGAGGTGGGTAACGAAACGCGTCGAACGGTTTCCGTAGGGCGAACGTGCCCAGGTGGGCGAAAGGGTTCGGCAAGGTCGGCGCTACGACCGCCGACGGTGGTGGCGCACCTGAGCCCAAGTACGGATTGTACGGATGCGCCTGCGGCCCGACCTTCTCTTGTTTTCGCCACTTGGCCCGTCGATTCTGAAACCAGACCTGTAACCAAACATTTTTATACCTTTTATTCTCTCCTATCCTTCCTGGCTTTCTACGTAAAGCGACAGAAACGGGAATGAAAAATCGAATCGAAATTATTTTATCACGCTTCTGACGATTTATGAGTCCATCGAAATTACGCCGTTTCGTCGGCGCGTTCGAGGAAGAAAAAACTCGAGCAGCGATACAGGAAACGATTTCGAGTCCGTTTTCAGGAAACTATCGGTTCGATTCCGGGGTCGGAAGGCAAATAGCGTTCGGTTCGTTGGAAGTTGTTGGAAGTGCGAATTCCGGTTAAAGTGACGTATCCTCCCTTTTTCAGGAAACAAACGCGGTGTATTATTATTGGCAACGTTGAAAGGAAACCAAAGGTCGCTGCCTGCCAGAGGCAGTTTCGTCGTTCCCTCCTTTCTCCAACATTTTTCTTCGTCCGTCTATTCGATGTTCTCGAAAAACGAAGTTTAAGTCATCGTAAAATCGTTAGCCTTTATTCCCTCGTGGCCTACTTCCGTACGAAATTCCAAACAAGTTCCACCCAGCTAGGGGATGGACGCGAGAAGATTGACCCCTATTTAATCGGAAGCGTTTCGGAGAATTTTAACCGTATACTTCGCCTCGGTTCTCGAGGCGTTCGTATCGAATAAAAAAAACTTGGGTAAACTGCAAAAGAGGCTCGACGAATTGTAAAGAAAATGAACGTTGCAACGAAAGTGTTCGAGCATCGTCGTCCGGACAATCGCTAATCGAAACGAAAGTCGTTCGTGATGCGTCGACCATTCGAGCACATTCCATCGCGAAGGTTCCTCGAAGACTCCGGCTCTAATCAGTTCAACGGAAGCTCTCCTCCCTCTTCTCCTTCCTTTTTTCCTTCGTTTCTTTAACGGAGTTTTATTCCACGATCTCCCGTTCGGGTTGTTAGGTCGATTTCGTGTCGTGACGGGAATACGAAACCGCGGTAGTCCAAGATTTTACGTTTCGCGTAGTCAAAAGTCTTCTGGATTTCTGCTTCCTCTCGAGCGAAATTTTCTTCGCGTATCTCCGTATCTCCTCGTGACAGCTCGTGACGAGAACGACTCGATTCGTTTGGTAACCGTAAACTCGTACGCGAGTACGCTTCGTTCGATGTTCGTAACACGACAACGATTCCGATAAAACTTTTCGAAAAGCAATTTGTCTCGAGGCATCTTCGTCTCTCGTCGTGTCGAGTTACCTTTAACCCCCCGAAGCGCAACTTCGTCTCTGACAACTTTTGTTTCTTCTTTATTATTCGTGCTTTTAAATTCACGACTAAATCAAAGAACGATGGCTACTACGTACACTCGATTGCGACCTTCACTTCCCTCGGTTCTTCGAATTCGAAAACAAGCGATAGGAATTCGATTGTACAGCGCGAAGGTACTAGCATTTATGTTTAAGAAAGTCGCATCGTACGCTTCAAACTTCTCGATTCTCTTTTTAATTGGATTTTCGTTCCGCTTTATAGAATTCCTGCGTTCACGACTAGGAAGTCAAAGTCAAACGTACCGCTCGAGGGCGTAGTCGCTCCCGACATAATCGACGGGGATGGTTTCGAGATGACTGTGCGATTCGATGATCGATTCGATCGACTGTCCAGCCGGAGGAAGGTATTTCGTGACTAGCGAGATCATCGGTCGTGAATTACACGCTGCTGGTCAACATGGTAAGTACACTTAATTTTAATGTTCTTCTGCATGCTACCATTACCGCTATCGTGTAAGAATATCGTGAAGATCTGCGAGATCTTTATTCGTGTACGAATGACACTTCGAAAATCGAGAACCCAGTTTCTATCTCGAAAACGAAATCGTAGTTTGAAAAACGATCAACTTTTCTTCTTACTTCGGCTTTCGGGTTTTCTGCGGCGTAAGATCACTCTCGGACGCCTCGTATTCGCCGTCAAAGTTTTTGCTGCAATTCCAAAATCCCGATGCATAGCGGACGCGAATGAATCGAACGATCGGTCAGACACACCGGGAACATGCAAACCCGTTGCTACGCGTACGAGAAGTTAAAGGTGACGGGGTGTGGGGGCTCGGGTGCCAGGACCCCCCACGGCGAGTAGGATTGCCCCCAGCAGGGAGTTAAACATCCGACTTGCGGCTTTTAAAACAAAACGCAACCAGGATTCGCCGCCGGAACCTAGTCGTTTGGTGCTTAATCGTGCTGCATTAATTACGCGAACGCCGCGTATCTCTCCTTCTCCGTTTTTCTACTTTTCATCGGAAGACGCAGTCTTCTCGAATCATTCTTTCCTAAATCATTTTGCCTCCCGACAGTCCAGAGAACGCCGTCCGAAATATCGTTTCTCGATAAGTTGCGATTCTCGAACGAAGCACGATTGAATCGTCACTAAACGATTTGCGTCGTTTTAGGAAAAGGAACGCGTTTTTTCAAAGATCGCGTGAACGTTCGCGCGTAGATTCCTCAAAATGATTAACTCGATTGCGCGTGCGTACCCGTGTCATTCGTTTAAACGGTAATTCTCGTCGCGTGTACGCTCGTATATAACGACTTTAACGTTCGGATAAATCGTCGATTCGCGATGGATTTGCAAGTATAATGGAAAGTGGCGAGCGAGGACCTTCGTGGCGAGAGAAAAAGAGACGGAGACGCGCGTAGATACGCGTTTTACCAACGAGAAAAGAGAGGAGGTGGCGAAGTAAGAGGCGAACAAGTGGCCAAAGGGAAGGGAAAAAGCGAGTAAATACCGGGAATAAATTAAACTAATTGAGCGAATTAGCCAGCTGTTCGTGCAACCAACTCTCGACGGACGCGTTTCGTTTGCCAAACAGTCTTTGCCGTTATAGGGGAAGAGTTAACTTTCTTCGTTTTCTTGTCGCTTCTCGTACTCTTCGGTCATAACAGATAGCAGTGATATAATAATTTCCATTCGGGTTTACTCGTCTACTTCTTCTCTTCTTTTCTTTTAACTCTCTTACGAATGTTTCCTAAGAATTAAATTTTTTCGAATCAAGTAACATGCTTAAAATGTAACTCGGTTCGTTACGTAAGCGATGTAAAAATTTTTAGAATAATCAGAAGGCTTACGAAAAAAGAAATGGCTTTTGTTCGATTGTACTGACTTGTATGCGTGCTTCCGTAAGACCGATCTTCATGGCAAGTTCCTCTCTGTAAACAAAAAAGATTCGAACGATTAGATATCTTTCGCAATCGAAGCACATTATAATCTTACGCTGCTATTATTATGCTACAAAGTATAGTATCGTTATACAACGTTGTTCCATGGTCGTTTGCGTGTAACGCAAAGCTAATTGTTCTTGACACACGCTGAACGAGGCTATCTCTTTTCTTTTGGTTTTTTTCATTCGAAAGATTATCTTCGTTTCGATTGTAAGAGCTGTTGCAGCCCGGTAATAATGTTACCGTGTTATTTAGTTAATATGACAAGAGCGATTAGATTTGCATGGAAAAAAGAACGACGCGAACGAGCTCGGACGTAAGCGTTAAGAAATCAAGAATTCCTCGCGACAGAAATAATTGCGCGTTCATTAACTTAATTAGAACGTTCGTGAGATATCAATTAATTGCATTACGTCTTTCGATGTAATCGACTTATCAGTTTCATTGCTATGCATGAATATTGACGTGACACAGGTGTGCGATGGCGCGGCGGAGTAACATTTCCATAATTATTCAATTGCTGTACGAGCAGATAGTATCTCATTGCTGCGTGTTTGAAAAAAGGTATACAGGTTAAAACCATGTTTCGCTACTATATTATGAATATCTCTAGATAACAAATATATAGTCGATGTTCTCATAAAATTATATCCGCTTGAAATACCGATACTTCTTTTTAATAATCCCGCATTAACGATCATAAACTAGACCCCAGCAGTTACTAGCTTCTGATTAGTTCGATAATCAACTAGACACCGATCGCTTGCTAAATTAATGATTAACGAAATCTCGCTTAATTAATACGTTACTCCGTAACGCGTGCAGAAACCCGCAGCGAATCTTCTTTTATTCCTCGACGTTTCTACCGTTTCCTCGTTACGCGATCTTCGGGCAAAAATCGGAAGAACAAAGCGAACGTAGAGTATTTTAGGAAAAGGAGGGACGCATTCCGGAAGGGTTTCGTTTTTCGATTTTTGTAGCTCGAGAAAAGGATTGACCGACAATTACGCATCGTCGTTCGAGGTAAAAGGGAACGTCGTTGTTTCGGTAAATGGCCTCTGGGCTTTCTGATCTCGCACGCAAATTGCCCAGATGTTCCACGAAATCGCGAGGAAATCTTCGTGATTATATCGCGCGAGCACAGAAGCTGTTACGCTACTTGTTTCTGCTCTCTTCGATCATTTTCGTTTCGTTTTATTCCCGCGCTTACGCGGGATTCGAACATTGTGCGAGCTCTAGTCAGTGTTTATTGAAAATTATAGGGACTTTTTACGATTCGTCGCTTTGTTGCACGATAACGTCGAACATTTTAAATCGTATTCGCAACTTCGAATAGTTGGTCCGTTACAGAAAGATTTGAATTTTTTTTCTCGTAATTGCCAACTTTTCTACGAAGCGTTCGAACCTTCTTAGGTAATGTGGTATGTACTATGTAATTGTATGATCGACACGGGTGCACAATATGAATGAAGCTTGCGTTTGGTATGATTGAAGTTTGCACGTAATGAAGGTTGCTAGAAGATTGTAAGATTGTCTTTTTAGTATGATCGAATGTTTTGGGAGCAAAGCAAAGAGCGCATTTAATTCGTGAAGTTCCATTTGTGTTGCATTTAATTAATTATAACCAGTCACACTTTGTTAATAAATTTCATTAATCTTTCTGATTATTAAATATTATTCTACAGTAATGGTAGGTACGCGAAAGGATAGAAAATCGTTAGAAGTCGTAGGAGACAAGTTCGCGTCGCGTCGCGTCGTCTCGACGGGATGTCGAAGAACGCTCGAGATAGGAGCAAGCACCTTGGCCTGCCCGAGTAATAATAATTTAGCCTTTCCCTTTTTCTTCGGCACACTCACGATCGTCCTTCTGGATTTAATAAGATCACGAAATTTCGCGGTTAGACGGCCGTCCCTAATTACACCCGCCGTTCACTGCCGCGACTCGGTTACCCTCGATTCCCGTATCGTTATTATTACCCGTGTGCCTCTCCTCCCCCTTGTTCGATGTGTCCTTGCCATGGGAAACGTGCTAGTTGCGTATACTCTGGCTATGCACGTAGCTAGATTAGTTTCTACTATTTCATTTGACGGACGTTTCGCTAACAATCTTGTGCAATTTCTTTCACAAATCCTCCGTGCGATTTATTGCCGCCTTACTTTTTTTCACCGACTCGTCCATCATCGAGTCCAACGAGCTCTCGGCTGACGTCAGGGACATTTGTATCGTAAAAACGTTCGCTTTTTGCTGTGGCATCAATCCATACAGGATGTTACAGAACCTGTGCACAGACTGCAAGCTTCTAATCCCTTCTATGAAAACCATCTTTAACGATGCAGCACGAATTCAATGATTTTAAAGCACCGACTCCATCGCGACACTCGCGTAGTTCTTTCCGTTAATGTCAAGGTTTGTGCTTTTCTTGCATAAATTCATTTTTTTCACGTTGCTCGCCAGAACTCGTTACGACTTCTTGTTACGCCTCATTAGGGATTCATGTTTTTTCTAATTCGTATAACGAATCAATGTTGCAAAAGGAAATAAAGTGTTAAAAGTCACGATTGCTCGACACGAGGAATGCGTAATCTGTATTTTCTCGTTCAATTAAAACGCATATACGCGCTCGTGTTCTATTAGCGCGACTCTTACGAGTACTTTGTTCGCATAAATTCAGCAGGATCGAACGAAGAGCGGAATAACAACTCGCGCGATCAAGGTAAAGCGAGAAAAAGAGGAGAAACACAGAGTGCATCGTGTGCGACGGTGCGGTAGGAAAGAGAGGTTCGGCGCGCGAGTAATTCGAGTAATTGCCGGACAATTACATTATCTAATTAACCTCGGAGGTCGAACCGAGCCAGTCACCGAGCACTGGCGGGTTCGTGATTGTCTCTCGTGGCGCAACGTTAATTATTATTGTTTACCATGCTTGGAATCGTTGTCGTGCCAGCTCCGACTGATCTTTCGATTCGCGGAAATTTTCAATTAAACTCTGGGGGAAAAGTATCGGACGTTTAAAAAAAAACGAAAGAAATCGATAAAGCACGATGGTCGACTACGACACGACGACCGTTCGGACGTGTCGCGTTGGCAGATCCGCGCGAAAGGAGTAAGACGATAGAAAAGCTGGTAGCTACGAGGTAATATCCGTGCATAATGCGTTGCAATCCATCTGGACACTAACGATCGGGTTGGTCAACGGAACAACCCTTGGAATTTGCCATTAATCTCGGTATAAATCATACGTCTCGCGATCGTGCGTTAGCTAGAACGCGTTGCGTTCGAAATGGCAATTACCGCTGGAATGACACGGCATTACGGACCATTTCGACGATATCGTCGTGAGACGATGCTTTCCCTGAATGCGGCCCTCACAGAAATTAATTTACCGTACTCGTGATCGCGGACGCACCGAGTAAAGTCGAACGAGGAGCGAAATTCTGCGACGATAACTTTTCTACAGTGTGTTGCCGCTCTGAAAAATAAAGCCCCCTGGATTTAATTATGTATTTTGTCCGACCGAAATTATGTTATTCGAGCGAGCGTGCACGGTCGTTTCGACTATGGTCGAATCGCGAAAGAACTACTTAATCGGTAGGATCGTGGCAGGGCGAGAGAGAGAGAGGGAAGACAGCAAAGTCGGTAGCTGATCGCGTAATGCGTGCGAAACGCGTGTTTAACGCGCGTACTCCGTGAAGAGACGATTACCGATTCGCTATACTGTCGTCGATCGAACCCTTCGTCGTTCCTTTTTCCTTCCTGCTCTCCTTTTCGCTCGTCCTTTCGAACGTCCGACCAACGCCACCGTCTAAATACACCGATTTTGATTTAACACGCTCCGGGAAAAAGTCCAATTCCCTTCTTACGCGATTTGTTTTGATCTAACACGAATCGGTTTACCGTATTATTTTTCAACCCGAATCCAATTTTTTATTATTCTATTATTCTCGTTACCAAGCGCATCTTTTTTTAAAGTCCGGCATAAAAAAGGGGTGCAATTTCTTTGATTCGTTATAATAAAGGAGGAAGAGAAATTGCAGGCGATTCGAATCGTCGAGGATGCGGACGCGTAACGAGATTAACGAGAAGAGAAAGAACGCGAAATTAGGGGACGCTCGGATGCGTGCCGTGATTTTCGAGAGCGCTAATCTCATTTGCTAAGAGGCGAATATAACGGATCGAAGAAAGCTGGCGGCGTTTCTAATCGAGAGCATGACTCGTCGTCGGTCGATTAATGACAGGAGAAGTTACGAGGCTGGGATAGAGGATAGAATCAGGTAGGACGGGGAAGGCACTTGGTCGAAGCGAAGAAGGACAGGATCGAGAAAGCAGCGAAGAGAAGAGGTCCGTGGAACTGGTTCCGTTCCACGGATCACTGGAAACAATCATCCTTATTAAACTCACCACCGACCCACCCCACGGATATAAAGGTATTCTTCGGAATGATTTACCGGGAACCGTGTTCTGCCCTTTCGAACAGGTGGATCTTTTCGAGTAGATACCTCTCGAACGAACAATAAATTTTATACGTAAAACCTGCTGCTAGCGTTTCTTTCTCCTTCGTCCTCGCACGGACTAGAATCTATGGGAATGTAAAAACAAAAGGGGAACGCGAGAGGATAAGTAAGAAGAAAAAAAATAGAAAGAGAAAATGAAAAGCAATAGGGAGGAGTATTCTGGTTGGTAAGAGTTTGGTCGGATGATTAGTCGAGGACCGGTAGCTCGAGCCACACGATTCTAATCTAAATTAGATCTTAAGAGCTCGTAAAAGTAAGTGGATACGTTCGAAAGCTTACCAACATCCGCGCGTATCTGGATGTTTCATCGTACGAATCTTTTTGGTCCGTTCGATCGAGGAAATTAGATGATCGACCGATCACTTCGTCGACTATTTAAACCCTTCTTTTACATATAAAGGATCGCGCGAGTAAAGTTGTCGTGCAAGCAATTTACATGCTCCGTTTCAATTAAGGATTCGATACTTTTATACGTATCCGTAGCGTTCGCGAGACTCTTCGTGTTCTGCATATTAAATTTGCATCGAAACTTGAAATTCGCGATACCGAACATTGCCAACGATATAATAGCGTCGAGTCCACCTCGACTTTTCCTCGCAATTTCGACCGTTGTCGAAAGCTACCACGAAATAACTTTCGATAGAACCAATCGTACATATACGCTCCTCCGTAAAAGCAGCTAATGAATATGCATCGAGCAACGCTTACTTCCTCTCTCTCTCTCTTTCTCGGTCAGCTAGTCAATAAACCTAAGCGACCATAAAATCCAATTAGTGTGAAATTAATACGGCAACACGAGAGGCCGAAGCAACAAGAAACACGATGATCGAGAGAAGGAATTAGTTTGTACGAAAACGACAAAAAGATGCGTGTAACGAGCATGTGGACGCAGAGAGGAAATGATCCGCGCGAAAGAAATGATAGATTGCTATGAAATTGCTCGGGGAATTCGCAAAAATAAAGATACTGTTAAAAAATTGCAAAATTGAAACAAGAACGTACGAGCGGATGGAAGTTGGCCAGGTCGAGACAGCCACGGATTTCAGGTGGACAGGATGCCATGGACATTAGCCTTTATCTCGAAACGCGAGTCTGGACTTCGAATTTTTCGATAAGACGGGGCCACTCGTCCGTCTGGCGCGACCATAATAAGATAGCCCTTAAAATTTTTGCTCCAAGTATCCCTACGCTATGTCTGACCTGCTTCGTGCTTCCGAACAATTTTCATTCTCCATTTAATATTATCCTTTAATTTGATCAACGTTGTCGCTAAAAATGCACTACGGCAAAAAGAACCAATAAAGTTCGTACGGTTGGCACGAACCGATCAAGTCGAAGAAAGAATCGACAATGAATTTTGATCGCTCGCGCTTCTCGTAGCGACGGTGCACCGTAGGTGTACCTGTTTTGGTGTTCCGCGCGTTCCTTCTAAGGTTCGTTAATTACGAGAACCCATACACCGTGGCCACAGGACCGGACCTATTACGAACGATTACACCGCTATTAGTTACCTACCGGGTGTTCCATGCCACGAAAGAAGGAACGAGAAAAGAAAGAAAAGAGAAAAAAGTCTAGCCAGATAGATTGCACTACACCCCATTGGCGGCACGTTGCTCTTTGCAACTGGATACAACAGCCGGGAACTTAATAACGCGAATCATCGTTTTGACGCGGCAAAAAAGAAATTTGCGTACCAATCATCGGCGTTCTTTTGCTTTTCTCGGTGTATCGAAGAAAGTACAAATCGAGTATCGATATTAAACGCTGCGACAACGAACAGAAGCCTCGCGATGAAATATTTGGGCTAGATAGGAAGTAATAGCCGGCTCTACGAGTTCCGCCGTATCTTGATCCCGTTACTCCAGAAGCCTGGAACTTGACAAACGCGACTAGACACCTCCTCTATCGTTCAGCCTCGAGATTCTAGACTCTAGAAGATCCGTGGACCCACGGGAGATATCGCTCGTAACTCTCGACGAAGAAGGACGACCCCGATAACGCGTCGGACGATCGTGTTTCAAAGTTTAATCGTGACACCGTTTAGAACGACCGACGGTAGCGAATTCGTTTCGTACGTACGCGTATACGCAACGAGAGTAACGAGAACTGCTTAGGACATACCTGGTGAACACGTCGGGATAATGAGTTCTCGAGAAAGCTTTCTCGAGTTCCTCCAGTTGGAAGCTTGTAAAGGTAGTTCTATATCTGCGTTGCTTCCTTTTCGGGGCAAAGTCGTCGACCTCGGCTTCGCTTTCAGGACTGGTCGGCGCTGCTCTAGGGTGGTTGCTCTCCTCCTCGGTTGCTCTCACCTCTTCCGTAGAGATTCCCATTTGAGTGGATTGAGGTGTCGTCGTAGTAGGTGGCGGCACCGATTGTTGCCGAGCTTGCTGGCTCACCTGTTGTGCGCTCGCTTGATTCACCTGGCTCGAGCTACTCGTGCTGCTCGCAGGACTCGTCTGCGGGACAGCTTGTTCGCCACCACCTCCTCCTCCTCCACCTCCTCGCGTTGAATGATCTGCGATCAAAAAGATCATTATTTATTTATTTATTCATTCTACGGATATAAACCCGATTAGAAATAACCGAAGTAACATAGTATAAGCTATAAAATCGTAAGATTAAGATAAAGATACGAGTTTTGCGAAACTCTTGACGCAACTTTTATAAGATAAGGAAGACGTCAAGTCAGTCACTAATTTTTCGTCGCGAGACAGGTACATAGTTCGCCGAGACTACCGACACGAAACGAGAATTGCGCGGTAAACTTGTCTAATTATTAGGGAAATTAATGCTACAACCTGTTAGATTGAGCGTAAGCGCGAAAAAGAGTATGGTCGTGCTGAAATCAACGATGAAAATTGCAAACGTCTCGACCCATTCACTTTACATCAACGTCAGCCGCTGTGCCTTCATAGAACTAGGATCGAGCATTCGCACGCACTGATGCAATACACAGCTCGTTTCAAAGAAGATGCGCAACGTTAACAGTGTCTCAGCTGTCGTCGGACCACCAACTTTGAATCGCTAACTTTTCGGGAAAGAAATTTCAATCGACGAAACGCGCAAGGAGTTTTCTACTCCGCTGAAATTTATAAGAAGAATCCGTAACATTGGACGTTTTTTTTGAAACAGTCGGTACAAGCTGTCTCGAGCGAGTGACGCGAAACGTTACGGACAGGTTCTGCTTGTTCGGAATAATCAACAAATGTTGAAAGCTACCATAAAGAATCGTGTACCCGACACATTGTAGATTCCTTAACATACTTATTAACACATTTTTCCGTTTATTAATATCTTTCATGAATACTGGATACATATCGAGATCGTTCGGTCCGTTTCGATCGTACGCAACAGCACGCGAGCACGCGGACACGGGGACACGGAGCAGGGGTAAAGAAGAGGACAGAGTTATCATTCCTTTCACCGACCTTGCTGCATTAATGATCCCTACGAGCCCACACTTCGGCACGTTCGATGCCGTGAGTGATCGTGTAACAGCACTCGATTTGCTTGTAACGACCAGAATCATTTTCACGCGCGATCGATACCTCGACATACCAATCGAACGATTCTACCTTGTGCTTACAAGCTGCTACTGATAATTCCTCTCCGCAATTTGCAAAGGCGCTTCGAACCGGTCCCTTCGTTTCCCCTCTAATCGCTTTCGACCGATTCTTGGATTTCGTAATCCTTCCGTTTCTCGACCGTACATTCGATCTAACCAAATATCTACGACCGGATACTTTCGCGATCGAACGTAGATTAAACGTTATCTAAATCAATCTGATATCTAAATCAATCCGTCGATTCGTAGCCGTGATACGTTTAATGCTTCGATTAAAAGCTCTTCTATTGTTCCCTTAAAACTCCTCGAAACGAGGGTTTATAATGAATTTAATCTCGTTACGGAAGAAATAGCGAGTAGAAGGAAAAAAGTAGAGGAAAGAGCAGAGCGGTTTGCAGCAGGTTTTATTAACAGCTGTTTTTAGCGGGGAGTCGATTTATCGGAAATGAGTTTATAATGTTAGTAGCCGGGGACGTAATGCGAACGATAAGGGAGATCTAAGCCCGACGGAAACCTTTTCTTTTCATTTTTCTTGGCTTTTGCCGTGGAATACGTATAGGTACGCGTAGCATCGTGCACGCAGCCCGGTTCTTCGCGTTACGTAGGTAGCCTTTTACATTATAATAGCATTAATGGGTTCGAAGCCGCGCATAATGCTCGTCCGTTCGTTCGTTGGCCGGTTTCGCTTCGTTATTAACTGAAAATTACCGAAACCGAAATCTAATTTCGCGTAAACACTGTAATTTTATGGCGGGAGGAAGCGACTCCTTCGTTTTTGGCCAGTCGAGAAAAGGCCGAGCTCCGAGTATTCTTTTTCTTCGACACGAATTTTTCGACGATTTTTATTCTCCCGAAATAGAATTTTGTGCGTTCCTATGACGAATGGGAAAACAACTTCCTGGTGTAAATTGTAGATACATTTTATTTTTGTATTATGCAGTTATCGAGTTATAATATCATTCGTGATACATTATCGCGGTGATTAACTTTGTATTTCCTGCATAACGGTTCTAAAGCAAACACATTTTCTGTCTCGAAGCAAAGGTGTGTTCCGATTATAAGAAAAATCGTCGGCAAGAAGTAAGCGACGATTGCTGTTCTCGTTAATTGACTCGTTGCCTATTGAAAATCTTCGACGTTAATTTATTTCGTCTCGAATCATACGTTTCATGTTGTTACAGTGTATCGTGAATACTCGATTAGATGCGTCACGCTCGATTAGATGCCTCGAATGGGGCGACTTCCGAGAGAGCGGCTTCAATATCTGCTAGTCATTTCTGTCATATTTGCACGGTGCCGTGTCTGTGTAACAGTCAACCGTACACTATCGCTCAAAAGTTTCTCGACACTTTCCTATCCGAAATTTTTCTTTCTTTGGGACTCGTTCGAAACAGGAAACTTCAATATTTTGCACGGAAGACGACGATGTAGTGCGAACTCTCGAGTTGAAACGCGTAAAAATTGTTTGTTCGGTTAGTTTGCTCCGAGACTTTCGAACGATAATGTACACACACATTGGTCAAATACATCACGCGTTTCGTGTATTATGGGATCAACGATTTATGGGCATACAAATTAGCCCGACGTAATAAACTAATTAGCCAACTCATTGAGGCCGCTTGAGTTTCTCGTGGACGTGTTATAATGGCAAAGTACGCCGCTACACTACTATGTATTGGAATGATGATCTTGCGTTACCGAGGTCTCGAGAATTTTCCACGATTTTACATGGCAAGATAAGTACACCTCGCGATCGTTTCTCACGCGAATCGATTAACGGTTGGTTACGTGGCCGCGCGAAAAGCGTTGCGCGCGAGTTTCGAAATTTTCAACCGAGTACCTTTTCTTTGCAGCATCGCGTTTGGCGTTGACGTTAACCTCTTTCATTTTCACGAGAAGAAATTAGAATAGCCGCGACTTAATCGCGATAACGGATCGAGTAAAGAGAGCTCCGATCGGAGTTTCGATACGCGCGAGTTCCTGTATGGCATGTACGTATTGTATTATAATCGAGCAAGATGGCCGTTTCGGAGAGATGGGTTGGTAGAAATCGTGGAATCGCGACGTCGGAGTAGCCGGGTTTTCGTTACATCGAAGAAGGTGTTTCTGCATCGAATCATACTTGCAAATTCTCGTTAATAGACGCGTCAATGCATCCTGCGACAAGGATCCAGCAACGGATGGACGTGTTCGATTTCTCGGCACGATAATAACAAGCAATTACGAATTATCGGCGATCCTTTGTGGCCGCTGGCTGCTCACGCGATACCGCCTTCTACTTCACCTCTTTCTCCTGTCCTTCTCCCTCTGCTCTTTCTCCCGCGTTATTTACTTTCCGGATGCAGGTTACGCCCGCACACGCGTTTAACTTTTCCCAAGTGAATTAATTAGCCCGTATAAACGTCTCGATGATAACTGGAACAATGCGCCGACTCGCATTGAGGGATTTTGAAAGATCGCGAAAACGAGATGAGAAGCGAAGCGGAGCGAGTAAAAGGATAGAGCTCGCTTTCGTACGTATTAAACCGATATTAGTTACGTACTGTGGGAATTATCTTCGACTCGATCGTAACGCCGTAATTAAGTCGGCGCGAACGAATCGCTTTTTTTCTCTTATTTGGATACGTGACGAGCGTGCGAGCGATAACTTTCGAGTTATTGAATAGGACTGAACGCGCTTCGAATTTGATCGTCGAAATCCTGTACGCGCCAACAGCTATTGCTTAATTACACGAGCTTACCCCGTCAACAGCGTTATAACGTTCAATTAAGGTGCTAATGGATCGAATTTCTCGCCGCATGGATCACCTGTACCACTCAATCCGGTTACCGACTATGCTCGCTACGCTTTACCCGTAAAACGCGTGACGATTTAACGTTCGGCTATACGACGCTTGCCTGTGCAACGCCTAAATGTGATTTAGCAATCATTTTTACCGAGCCGATAAACCTAATTCGATTTCGAAACGTTGTGTCGCCGCTGTATTCGCTTGTATTTCATGAAACGCGATAAAGGCAATTAAATGCTTGTGTCGTAATTAGCGGACTGCGAATAAATATATTTCCAAAAGAACGTTATTTGAATTGCGCGATCGACTTTAACATAATTAATCAAATTGTATGCGAGTTAGTCCGATCGTCACTCGAATGCATTATTTATTAAGCGCTTAGTTTTTAGATAACGTTTCTTCGAAGTTGCCCGATAAAAAGATGTATTTACATGGTAATACAGTTTAATACATTCAGTATTACTTTAAAGATAATTAAGTTTCTTAGTATATAAAGTGTATTACGTCGTAACATTTATACCGGTTTTTTAGCATTTAAACATGCTGAAATAATAGCCCGAAGCGATTGCAATTTGCAGATTACTTTATTTGTTGCAGAGCGTTGATTAACGATTTAATGTTCGCGGAATCAATCAACCGTGGAAAATTGATCGATCATCGATCGTTTCAAAATCCAAAGGTACCTCTTTGTGCATAAAAATTCACGGCGGTTTATCCAGTTTGATAGTTGCTCGAGATCTTGTAATTCTTTTCCTTTCGCGTTCATCTCGCAAGAATAACCTTCGTATCGGTTTCGCTAACATTTCCCAAATGCGCTTCGCGTTTCCACGGTTCGAACGTTTCTTCGGGTATTTACGTAAATGGCTAAAGAATAGTCGAAGAAACGTGTCGATCGTTGAACGTAAACATTTCGTATCGATAATATTATCGATATAAAAATTGAATGCTCGAAGAGTGGGCACTCGGGTTCCGATTGGTTTATCCTTTGAGGTAATCGAAACTCTGGAGTTTAGGTCGATTCAACGAGCCGAACAACATTCTGTCGGTCGATCGTCGATAGCGATCAGCAAACGATCATTAAGCAGATCCTGAAAGCCGCGTGGTACACACGATAAATCACGTTGGCCACCGATGTGCAATTTACCAGCGCACTAACGTAAT